TATGACCTGAAAATTTAAAAGTAATTATTCTCTTTAGGATCAAGAATTTTTATTACTTTATTCCTTTCCTTGAAAGTAAATGCCTGGGAAGATGTAAAAAGTACATGAATTTTGAGAACACACAAAGAATGATTACCATAAAGTGGAAGCATTTAAGAGCACAAGGTGTTTAAGCCAGGGCTCTGAACCAGTTCAAGGAGCTCTGGGGGCATAGTGGGTAAGGCACTTGACTGCTAACCAGAAGGTTACTGGTTCAAACTCACCAGCTGCTCTGCGGAAGGAAGATGGAGTGAACTACTTTGGTAAAGAGTTACAGCCTCGGAAACCCAATGGGGGTCACCATGAGTCAGAAACAACTCAATGGCAGTGAGTTTGGTTTGGTTTGGTTTGGTAGAACTAGTTCACAACAATTCAGTCACAGCCAAGAGAAACAAGGGCATCGTGTGTGTCACATAGCAACCAAATCTCTTGTGTGTTCTATTTTGAACTGAGTAGGAAACAAGTAATGGGACCTCCCTCAAAAATGGAGGCCAACCACACCACTCAAATCAAAATCTGATGCTCAAGACGTTTGGTTGCTATGCAATGCGTACAGTGCCCTTGTTTCCATCAGCCACGACTGAACCGCTTTAAACCAATCCAAAAGCCTGGTTTAAGCACAAGCAATGACTAATCATGGCTGGCCGCAAAGTTGTACTGATACAGGCCTAAGCCCTAAGTAGCAAGGCTTAAAACTAAAATAAAAATTAAAAACTAGGCAGAGATATCAAAATCACAAACTCCAGGGCATAAAGACTGCACAAATCTGACCCTGAAAAGTTAGTAAATAAACTAGCAAAAGAAAAAAAAAAATATGGCAACAACAAACCTGGGGGGGCGGGGAGAGAATCTAGACTTGGTACAATGTATTAACTAAAATTTCCAGTTTTCAACAAAAAAATTACAATTAAAAGCCATGTGAGGGGGGAAAAAAAAAAAAAAGAAAGTATAAGTGTGACTCATACACCAAAAAAAATCAGTCAAAAAAAAGTTTCTCTGAGAGAGCCAAGATGTTGTACTTAGAATACTGACGTTATAAATATGTTCAAAGAACTGAAGGAAAGTATGATTAACAAATTAAAGGACAGTATGATTACAGTGTCTCATGAAGTTGTTGTTATTGTTGTTAGGTGCCACCGACTCGTCTCCGACTCACAGTGACCCTATGTACAAAAGAAGAAAACACTGCCCAGTCTGGTGCTAGCCTCACAATCCTTGCTATACCTGAGCCCATCATTGCAGCCACTGTGTCATCTTGTTGAGTGCCTTTCCTTTTTTTGTTGACCCTCCATTTTACTTTACCAAGCATGATATCCTTCTCCAGGGCATGGTTCCTTCTGACAACATGACCAAAGTAGGTGAGACCAATTCTGGCCATTCTTGTTTCCAAGGAGCATTCTGGCTGTATTTCTTCCAGGATAGACTTGTTAGTTCTTTGAGCAGTCCATGGTACTTTCAGTATTCTTTGCCAACACCACAACTTAAAAGCATCAACTCTTCTTTGGTCTTCCTTATTCATTGTCCAATTCTCACACGCATATGAGGCGACTGAAAATATCATGGCTTGGGTTGGGCGCACCTTAGACTTCAAGGAGACATCTTTGCTCTTCAGCACTTGAAAGAAGTCTTCTGCAGCAGATTTGACCAATGCAGTATGTTGTCTGATGTCCTGACTGCTGCTTTCACTGGTGTTGACTGCAGAACCAAGTAACATGAAGTCGTTGACAACTTCCATCTTTTCTCCATTCATTGTGATGCGGCTCATTGGTCCAGTTTTGAGGATTTTCATTTTTCTTTACATTGAGGTATAATCCATACTGCAGACTGTAGTCTTTAATCTTCATCAATAACTGACAATCAATAATTATATAATGTATGCACACCTCAAAGACATTGTGGTTTCAGTTCCAGACCACTACAATAAAGCAAATATTGCAATAAAGCAAGTCACACGAATGTTTTGGTTTCCCATTGTATATAAAAGTTATATTTACAGTACAGTATAGTGTGTATGCATGCAACAGCATTATGAAAGAGTTTGAAATATTGTGCGTACTACCAAAATGCGACACAGAGACACAAAGTGAGCAAATCACATTAGAAAAATGGCACCAAGAGACCTGTTTGTCGCAGGGTTATACAAAAACAGTGAGGAGGCCACATGTTCTGACCTCCTCTAATCCCACAAGAGGAAGACAGGATTATCAGCAGTAACCCAAGGCCTATTCCTGCCAGGCCAGACATGCTGCCTCCCTCCACCCCTTTCACCAACCGTTCCTCCCAAAGCACCCACCACCTCTCTCCTGGGTTCAATAATTCGCTGCTGTGGCCACACAGAACTCACAGGGTTTATTAGGGAAGCACCAGGCTACAACTCAAGTTCAGGAAGAACGCTCAGTCTCTCTCCCAGCCCACCGTCCCTCAGCCAACAGTCTCTCACAGTCTCTTTCCCAGCAGTGCTGGTCCCTCGGTGTCTCACTCAGCAATGCATGTCTCTTGCGTCTCTTTCCCAGCAATGCGTGTCTCAGGAGCCCGTGTCTCTTTCAGCAGCACGTCTTCCTCAACCAGCAGTCAGAGAGAGTTCTGCCTCTAGGAGGCATCCTTTTGAGCCCAGCAGGGTGGTCAAACTAGCCAATCATAGCATCAGAACTCTAAGCACCTGAGAGAGAGTGGGCACCTCCCAGAACATTGTATTGTTCCACTCCCAACAGAAGTATCCCAGGTGGACAATTTCAGCAATCAAGAGCCCCTCAGTTGCTCATAGAAAATCCCACCTTGGAGTTTACAAAGACTTATGGGTAGAAAAGCCACACAAAGTAATTTACTACACTGCAGGTTACCACAAACCTTCAGTTTGTGAAAAATGCAATTATCTGGGATGTGCAATAAAGTAAAGCACAATAAAATGAGGTATGTCTTTATCAAGAATAACTGTCTCCAACAAAATGAAAGGCAAATGAAAACATTTCCAGACAAAGACTGAAAGAATTTATTACTATTAAACCTGTCTTCCGGGGGGGAGGGGCAACACTATAGGAAATCCTGAAAGAAAGTGACAATCAGGCTGGAAGAAGTGACAACAACATGGCCATTGAAATCCACTTGAGCAAAAGTACTAAAAAGGTAAATATTAGGATATTTATAAAAGACTACATAAATATATTTTTTTTCACTTAATTTCTTTAAAAGACATACACTGAATAGTAATAACATATCTGAGGTGATACATATGACAATAATAGCACAAAGGAAAGAGGAG